AATGCTTATAACCTAATGTATACCTCTACCAACTTCCATAACTACTTACTATACGACCCGGGCGTTCAAGTAATGTTCACGCTTCCATGGACTTAGCATCTTTGACTGGCTGACAGCCGTTAGTTGTTCATAGTCAAAATCAGATTTTGGCGTAGCTTGCCGCCTTGGTTTTGGAACCCTGCAAACAGGAGTCTGTAACTCCAGGACGGTGATTTTTCCAACGTTGTGACAAAGATTTTGCATTGACGCTCGCCGCGGGCAGGTTAATTACAAATTACACTTTGTGACATCACGCTTTGTTTCCCATTGCTTGTTATCTTTTGGTGGATCGGCGCCAGATGGCTCAAAGCTTTTTCGAATAATGCTCTGCAGCAACTCTCACCCGCCAGTGCCGTCCTGCAAGTTAAAACGAAAGTCCCGTTCTGATGTGTGCGTTCAGATGGTCACGTGTTGCGTACCACTTGTGATTGGAATCGTTTTTTACGCGAGCATTGACAAATCCCAAGCGCAAGTCGTCTTGTGAAACCGCAAGAACATTATATCAATGCTCTCTGCTGTTGTGTCTAACCTGACATTTCCGTGCATATACTTGGTGTGCATGTGATTTACAACATGATTTCACAAGCATGTCCAAGCATCCAACGCTTCTATGGGAATATTGTTGTGTAACCCGCCCTTTGCATGCACAGGTGATTTCCGCAATAATGTTTTCAAATATAATTCTGGCATAGCTTTCAGACACACTTCACATTTTGTTGCTTTCACAATCTTGCATTCGTGCTTTTGGGTGCTGTTTGTGTGGCATGATACCCGCTCATGGACGACGATGTGTGCATTATGTTCGCATTCGATTGGAAGCGAAATCAACACGGCACTGCAGGATGCTTGTGACCATTGCTTTGTCGAACCGCAGAATAGGCGAACAGATTTTTTTTTGTTCCGTCGCATGTGGTCGCAACGAGTTTGCAGTGCATGCATTCTGATATGAAGCTTGTTTTCAAGGATGTAGAATGTTTTTTCAAAATTCCGTAGGCGGCACACGCAAACAAACAGGTTTTTTGCAAGTAGCTTGGTAAGAAATGTTGCTTAAATTTTCACTGCTACAAACAACAAATATGTTTGCACTGTGTCGAGGGGAAATTCCCATCAGGTTGAGCCACCTTTGGTACATTTTTTGCCTGGTTGAACAGAATGCTGTAGTGCACCCATGGCGCCAAAGAGTGCAAGTTTGCGGCTGCTTGGCGCAATCCAGATCCTTCCAGACTTGTGGAAATGAATGTGGTGTGTATGTGCAGTTTGGCCAAACTTGGTTGTGGCTGGAAAACTGCCGCCTCTGACAGGTTGAGCGCGCGTCCCCGCGAAGCTTCCAGTAAAACAGAAAGCCATGCGGACCGCATGGCACGCTCAAGTTTGCAGAAGGCGCAGCCATTTGGTGGCAGATGATGTGTTGCTTTAATGCCTGGCATGTGCTGAGTTGTCAGGCGGCAGCCAGCTTGCCGGAAATGGACCGATTGCTGGCAGAAGGGTTGCCAAAGGCGTTGAAGGAGTTTACGAGTCACTATAGCTGCTTGCCTGCAATGACGTCGTTGTGACTTTTGCAAAATGCCAAGACTTGGCATCCGTTCTCACCTGGCAGCGTTGCCAATGTGGAATGATAAATGTACTGTAGCCAGCAAAAGAAATCGCATATTGCAACGTTGGCAGGACAGAGGTGTGTTCCATCAGCTTTGATAGCTCAAAAGCGCAGCATGCGCGTAACGACACCTGCCCAGAAAACTTGGATGGGTGCTTGCAGTTGGGGTTTGTTTTTTTTGTGGGCTGCCATGCGGCTTAGGCAAGCTGCGAACGGCTGATGACCTGCTGGGGTCAGCCGTGGCACTAGAGCCCGCGCAGAACCTTCGTCAGGCCAGAGCTTGAGATGATTTAGCACCGAAAGTTTCATGCGATGTAAATTATCATGCTGCAATATCATGGCAGGTCGTGTGGCATTTTCGAGATCTCTCATGGAGGATTCTATGATGTGTGTTTCGGTCTTGGAACCACTCGCACAGGCTTTGGATGTACTATGATGTCTTGTGTTTGATTTGTAGGGTTTAAGCTGGTTCATGTATGCTGTCGTGTCATCGCCAATGCGTGAGGACAGCAGTTCAACCTCAGCAGGCGGTTTGCATTTTGTACACCTGGAGTTGTTAGTGAGATCTGTGGCAGTTGCATTAGCTAGGGTTGCAGGCACATGAAAGAGCATTCGCACACGACCATTGCAGAGGCTGCCAAGTTGGTCGAATCATTTGCGGGGCCTCTGAAGATCACGCAGGTCGTGCTGACTTTAGTTGAAGGCGAGTCCGCTGGTACTCTTGCTGAAGCACATTTGTCAGTTCGAAAGGTGCATCGTTCAGAGTAGATTCTTGACGAGCCCCGTTCAACGTCTCAAATAATGTCCAGATAGCTTTTTTCTCGATCTTCACCTGTGACCTTTCAACACAGCCTGCAACTGCTGACGCATCATCTAGCTTTTTGGATTGGTTTCCTTGAGGCTTGGATTTGCAGATGCTGCTGCGCAGTGCCGATCCTGGCGTCCTGGCAGGCGTAAACAAGTATGTGCCTTAAAGACAGCTTTGAAGATCTGCCGTACAGGTGCTCTGCTGCTTGGACTTGAGACTTCTTCGATGTATTGCGTGCCGCCTGACAGCAAGCGCACTCCTTCACAAGCTTGCATTCAACGAACGCAATTGCAAGGCTGGCTAGCAGTTTCGGGATTCCCATCAACCTGGTAATCGAGGAGGTGCTGCAATGATGCACCGTGACAAGTGGTGATGCGGGCTCACGGCCAGGTTACTTCATGTATCTTGAAGTACCTCAAGGAGGTGGTGCGACAGGTCATCTCGCCACTTCAGTGCTCGGAAGCGGAGAGGCCCGAGGGTGAAGCTTTTGAACAAAGTTTTGGAGTTTGTGAATTCTCAACTTAGGAACAAGAAGGGTCCCAGTGATGGCGGAGGACGGTTGAACGTGTTTGGCTTCTAGCCTTTTTAGCAAAAGCCACTGCAGGACAGGTTGGGGATATGCCCTTCAGCCCCGGAGCTGAGTCTTTGTCTTGTGTCAGGCCTCTGGATGGGTAAGTTGTTTCCATGTGGGATGCTTCTGGGACCAAGGTTCAGAAGATGCCAGCGCACTTGGTGCGGCTGTGTCTGGGCTTCTTCAGGTCGGAACTTTTCGCAATGCCTTCGGTTGCACAGCTTGCTTTCGCGGTCTGTGGCAGTGAAATTGACCAGTGTGAGCTTGGATGCCTCCTGCGCAGGCTTTACACGAGTTTCTCAGTCGTCATCGGCTTGCAGAAGATCAGCTACTGAGCACATACCCGCAGGGTAAAATCGAATGTGCTCTCAGCGAGCATGGCTGAGTCTTAACCTGAAGCTTCACTTACCATTTGTGTCCGTGCATCCTTGAGAATTCCGGCCTTTACAGCATGGCAAGCCCTCCTGGCCACTTTTAAATTTTTGTGACGTTGGGAACGTCATCGTCATAGCAGCTTTAGGATCTGTCTAGGCAACTCCCACCTCACTGCTGACACGAAGCTTTATAGTACTTGAAGGTTCTTGGAAATTAGTAGCTACTGGTTTTTGGGCTTATAATTCTATTGATACTTGGGGTAACCTGCACAAGTCAAGCTAGGGGATTATAAGTAAGTCATAAAGCCCGTCTATAAGTAGTTGCTAAGCTCCATGAACCTTCAACCAGGAGGCATCAAGTCTGTGTGCATTGCAAAGATAACGAAATTTCAAAGATGGCAAGTAACCCATACCGCCATGTTTTGCCGACGAGACTTTTCATGTGAATTTAGGCGTTTTCTGCGATGGTGTACTTAGTCGGGGGGAACCCCACTATAGACCCCAAAATATTTCAATCCTTATTATGGGGACCCTCTTTTTGGAAACCTTTAGCTCTGTAAATCCCTATATAGCTCTATATAAACCCTATAAACCAATTGACTCCCTAAAATTTGGAAGCTCCCACCTAGGCTGCATCAACTTGTCCATCTTGCTCTCTCCACTTTCTTCTTCGGGGAGCCGAACTTTCGCCTCTGTGCTGCTGCTGAAGAGGCTGGATAGTACCAGGAATAGTATTAGTAATCATAATCTACGGAACAGGACCGCGTACCCTTGGTCGAGTCTCCCTTTCTATAGCTTTTGAAGCTCTCGTAGCTTATTCGTGAACAATTGTGATGAGCAACTGCACTGCAGCGGCCATCGGCTCGGGTGCGAGTTGACGGGTCGCTTGGTCTTATACGGGACGGACCCTTGCCTCTCGGACTTTTAAGAGGTGCTTCCACGGAAGCCGGTTTAGCCTGCCGGCATGGTAGAGGGACTTCTGATCCGCGCTCTATGGAAGGAAGTAATAGTAATATTAATAGTACTAGTAATAGCATGTTTAATGGTAATGGTAATAAAAATACTAATACTCATATTAGTAGTAATAGTAACAGTCATAGTCATAGTCATAGTAATAGTAATAGTAATAGTAATAGTAATAGTAGTAGTAGTAGTAGTAGCAGTAGTCGTAATAATTACTGTAATTGTAATAGTCAAAAGGGTACTGGTAATAATACTATGGGGTTTTAGATGGATATCATGGAAATGGGCGTTGGTCGGGTGGGCCAGTCTTGGCCTCGCTGCTTACTCGGGAAGGTGCTGGTGACAATCTTCTCCCGTCACGAATCTTTGCGTGGGTCCGTGGTCCAGGAGTTCCTTTCTCGAGCACCGAGGCTGACCTTTCTGTGCTAAGTAGCGAGATTGATGGGGTTCAACTTTCAGTGGGGCTTGATCACACCGCACTGTGTTATTTGGGGTAGGTATGTGCGGCGTTCAATGCTCAAGGATTTTGCCCGCCATCTTCTCTTTTCTGCTGCGCTGCACACATAGTGTTGCCAGCATCAGCCAGCAGGGGCAACTTTCAAGAGGCAAGCTTATTCGGTGCCCCGAATGTCTGAAGTTTTGATTATAAACATGTAGGCTTGCTGACCAGGCTTCCTACTGGTAAGCGGGCCAAGAAGTTCCAGATGCCAGCGACAGAGGATGCTATGCTTCGAATTTTGTTCTTCCTTGCTGTAAAGCTCACTTGTCCGTGCTGCAAGCCGTGACCGTCCACGTAAGAAAAATGACGAGAAGGCTGTCAGCACAAGCTATGAGTGCTTTTGTTTTCGTGACACCCCGCAGGAAAGCGGTGCCTACGGTCTGAGCACCTGGACGCACCTGCTGCCTGGCCGCAGGTACCCTTGCTTGGACCTCATGTTTCCACTGTCACATGCCAAGGCTGTTGCGCCTCTGTCAGTCCACCTGCTTGCCACTACGTGAGCCAATTGGTGCGCCCCGTAGAAGCCTTCTTTTTTGTTGTCTCTTGTCATGTCATCCTGGCTTGGTGCTCAATTCCAAGCCAGCAGCGCTCGGGTGAGGCAGTGAAGTGGACTTTGAATCCGTGGTCGAGCGTCGCCCAGCAGCTCAGTCAGCTGCAGCCTTGGCAGATCGAAGGGCTGGGGCCGCACTGCGCTGAAGAATACAAAGCGCCTCAAAGGCCCGTAGCTACTTGAAGAGCCAGCTGCATTCTGCTTTCTCAAGCCATGAAGAAGGAAATCTGATGCACAAATCATAGTGTCTGGGCCAACCGGCTGGAAATAAATGTTGAAGACTTTAGTGCGTGGCTGAGAGTTCCCTTAGTAGGAGACATTTTTGCGCAAAAGCGAGTTGTGTCGCGCGAGTACCCCGATGTCTAGCATGCTTCTAGTTTGGTGGAGATGGCCAGGGTATGTTGAAAAAGATCAAATGGGCGAAAGCGATCGTCCATCCATTTGCGATCCATTTTGATGGGCATTGTCCTTACCTCTCGCCATACTATATTCCCAATGATTGCCTAAGATGAAACTCTCAGAAAAGATGTCAGCATAATCTTACTTCACTCACGCAACACTTGCTGTTCACTTAGAGCAGTGGCTACTTATAACCTCTATATAACCCATTATAGTAGTTTCCATTTTATTTTCCATTATCCCATTATAACCCCAATATTGTCGTAGTTTCCATTTTCTTTATTTACCAAAGTTCTGAGGTCATCTCTCAGCTTGTGGCAGGGCTTCTACACCGGCTGGTAGTGACTCGCAGCGCGCAGCTTACGGGTCGGATGGCAGGTTTTAGAATACATCTTATAATACATTGTAGTGTATTAGAGTATATTATAGTATAGCGTATTAAAACTTCTCATAGTATGTTATAGTATGTTTTGTGTGAGTACCGGGATTTGGTCTGATCTTCTTCCCAGAGGCAAGGATGATGAAGCTCGTGTGATTCTGGAGGACGTTGTCTTCCGACGCCTTCACGGGGCATTCTCATACACGTGTGGAGTAGGCAGTCTTTCATCCAGCTAAGTGCCAATCTGCGATTAAGATCTAATGGAAAATATAATGGAAACTACCCTAATATTGGGGTTATAATGGGATAATGGAAAAGAAAATGGAAACTACTAGAATATTGGGGTTAAATTGTTTGGTCAGGAGAGAGAGGTCTGATTGAGATGGGCAGTTGGATCCTTGTTCTTGAGAGCCGGTTCTTGCAAGGACTTTGTTGATGAGATCTTCTCCGCAGCTTTCAAACCGATGTGGCCTGGAGTGTGCGCCCAAGACCTGAGATTTTTGACCGAACCGCCTCGCCCGATTTGTACCATTTTTCATTTTGCTGCATGAATGGGGTCACCTTGGCAAACATGACAATCTTCACTTGTCTCGCGTGCACCTGGAAGAAAGTGATTGAGGGAGGCCTCATTTCACGCCTTGGACTTCGATTTCCATGAAAAGTCTGCACGTTGACACGACCATGATGGCCTGATATGGCCTGGACGTTGCAGAAGGATCTTCTGGGCTCATGGGATATTATATTATACAGGAGGAACATCAAGCAGGATGTCTTTATTGATCATGGCGCTGTGATTCGTCTGCTGAGGGCAGTTCTAGGACAAGATGTACGGGACTGAGAGCTATGTCAGGCAATTCTAGCGGAGGGGACCTGCCACACAGGACTGAAAGGTTTCGCAGGCTGCGTTTGCAAGGGCTTAATGGGTGCATTTCACGAATTCTAGCGGAACTAGGCTTGAGTTTAGTCTTGCTTTAGCAGTAGTAGCTGCCAAGGTCTGGAAAAGGCAGGATCGTGTGATATATCACAGGATGGGGGGGGGGCTAGGTGATTCTTTCACAGCAAAGTGTAGGTTTGGAGGGGGGGGGAGGGGCGGGGGTTGGGGGCCGTACGTGATTCCATCACAGGAGTCATAGGTTTGGAGGGGGGTGATTCTTTCTGCGAGAGACTTCGTAGGAATAACCTTATGTTCGGTAATTGTACAATAACATCATGCCTGGTTGTGGCATCATTTTTTTTCTCAATGTTCACTGCCCTAACCTGCTCATGGTACGAGTTAACAAGTCTATAACAATCCTTATCACTTAATTCTTTGATATTGTCTTTGAATTTAATTTCTCATGCTGCAACTAAAGCACTACAGTTTTCAGTTCCTGTAAAAATCACTGTTCCTGTTCATGTTTCAGACCCGTAAACATTAAAACCACATGATGTCATGCCTCATTCATTAGCATTTTTCATTGACGTTTATATTTGTCCGTTGCTGTCTTGATTATAAATTTTGACTCTTTGACTTACTGATACATCCGCATGCGCAATGTCTACATTTCCTAATAGATTGGACTGTTCGTCTGTTGCCTTAATCTCTGGTGTTGATGATTGTAGTCCCATTGTAATATTTATGTCTGCTGTTGCTGATAGATAACCTTTACTGTGTGTCCAATACTTCTTGAAATTCATTGTTGTTCTGAAGCATAAAGTGTCACAACTTGTGAGATCCGCCTCTCCAACAACATTACCAAGACTACTAAATGTTTGGTTATTTATGGCTGCTCTATTAATTGTGACCCTGAGAGTGCCATTTAGTTGTAATGCTATTGTTCTTGTTGCGAGGTTGGATGTTCTATTTGTCCGTATTTTCCTCTGTTGGTATTTCAATTGTTATTAGTGTTCGCTCTTTGGCATAATCTTGCGCTCGTGTTTTTGGTTGTTCTCTCGCTAATGTTGGTGTCTAGTTATATCACACGTTACGTCGTCCAGACCTTGAAGGCTACTACTGCTAAAGCCAGACTAAGCTCAAGCCTAGCACGCTTGATTTGTGCTGCTATGGTTGCTGTTGTAGGGTCTGCTCCTTTATTTGATGGAAGCCTGAAATGGATTTCATGAAACGTCATGATGTTTCATGATTTACTAGCGTATGCCCTCTGATATATCCGCATCTAACTAATATGCTCCTGTCGGCGTCCAAAAAAAAGTTCCTGGCTCCAAGATAGGTGCGTGCGTTGTCCCACCTACATACTGTTCAGAAATATGACATATTGGGGTCTGCTGCTGTTCCTACTTTCCACTCCTGTCCTTCCTACCTTTACTTCACCTGTTGATGCGTCGTTTCTGTTGGTGAAATCTAACTTCCGCTGTGCTCTGTCTGTCGCGGTTCACAGTTCACGACGGTTGTATGGTCATGATACGCGTGTGGGAGTCGCGTCAAACCTCGCAAGTTCACAATACGGATAACATGATGCTGGTGGTTTTAAAGGATTGCTCCCCTTTGTGTTCACAACCCTTGCAAAATCATGATACACATAATCCGTGCTGGTCGTTGCGTCAAACCTCCCTGGCCCCTTTGTAGTGAACAACACTGCCCGGCACCCATCATCATGCCGGGTTGTTGCATTGCACCTTTCCCTCCGGTTGTTGTGTTTGATATCTTTGCCATGTCTTGAAACACGCCATTTCTTGCTTTATTGAGACCTTGCCACTCCTGCAGTGATTGCTAAACCTGCCCATGCATGAGCATGGTATGAATGGCATTAAGCTCGATGGTTGTACTAACGCTCCCTGCTCCGTCTTTGATAGCGCATGATAGCGAATGCCTCAAACGGTCATGGTACCGAGCACGTCATGCTCTCTTCCTCTTTCCTAGTGTTCCGACGTTGTGTAGTCATGCTACAAGTACCATCTTGCTTAGGTGTTCCACCTTCTTATTGCTGAGTGCTCTGCGGAAGGGGTCTTGTTTTCAACGTTGCGATCTGGAAATTCTATGGCCGAGCAAACTCGTTGCGCACGTGTCCGCAGAGGTCTGCATAGTGTCCGCAACGCGTCCACATGTGTTCGCAAGTGTTTCCAAGTGTTCGCGCAGTCACCATCCTCGTATAGGTTTTGTCGCTTGTGGACCGCCGTTGCTGCGTCACGAGTCAAAGGTGCACTCAGTCACGGGGCATGGGGCAGGGCGGGGCGGGGAAGCGTTGCTGCTTCGTGGCGTGTGAAAAGTTCATGAGTGCCAACACTCACAGGGATGCTGCACCTTGGGTAGCCATCTTAGTAACTTTATTTTTATTGGATGAGTCACGTCCTTGTTGCGCATGAAAAGTGACAGGGATGAGACCCCTTGGGGTCGCCATCCTGGCACTTGCCACCACTTTTGGAGCCTCGTGTCTTGACCTCATGCAAGACCACCCACTGTTGCAGGCAAGGGCGCCTTCAGCCTGCCATGCTCGTACCTGGTCGTGTTTTCCTCGCATGCGACCTCGTGGTTGGGATGGGACAGTGAGACTCGCCGTGCTCGTGCCTGTTCTGGCTTTTGGATGTTGGCTGAGAATGCCGTGACTACGCTACTTGCTCCATTGCGAAATGGAATGGAGTGGAAGGGACAGGTGTGAGGGGAAAATGCGTTGGAAAGAGGTGGAGAGTGATGTGGAAAAGCAGTGGACGGTGGAGTATAAACTGGAGAGTGGAGTGGAGAGTGCGTTGCAGAGTGGAATGGTGAGTGATGCAGAAAGTGAATAAGAGTGGAGTGGAAACTGGAGTGGTCTCTGCAGTCAGGGTGGGGTCCAGAGTAAAGTCAGAGTTAGACTGGACAGTGGAGTGAAACGTGGAGCGGAGACTGGGACAATGGGGAAAGTAGGGAGGAGAGGGCTGGAAATGAAAGTGGGTTGCAAAGTGAAGTGCGCAGAGAAGTGGACACTGGAGTCGAGTTGGCGAGGTTTTGCGAAGGGTTTTCCAGGCCCCTTAACGAGGCTTGTGCTTTTTGCTGGCATGTACTTTCCCTCCTCGTCCTTTACCCTACTCCAGATGGAGCCTGGCTAGCTTTAGTTGGCCTCGGCTCGCCCCTCAAGTGTGGAGCTCCCATTATGCTGTCCTCTCCCTTGTTCTGCAAGGCTTTCACGTTTGCTCTTTGTGCTGGGTGGGGTGCTCCAACATGTCTTGGTGCTCTGAGGCCTTGGCCCTGCCGGACCCTGAGGGATGGCTGTTGCCCTTTAATGGTTACTTCTACGTTTTCTGCTCCCGCTATAGCAAGTCATAGTCATAGCAGTGCCACAGTTACGAGCACGATTAACACGACTTTGACAACTGTGCGAGATCCAGAAACGGCTTCTCTAGGTCCGAAAGTGTCCAAAACCGGCTTCACTGCAACTCTGCGTTGCCATACCATTTGGACGCCTCCAAGGCTTCGCCACCTTCTGCAGCAGCTGATCGCACTGCTGCAGGAGAAGAAGCAGGCATGGGATGCCAAATGTCTTGTAGCAATACGTGATGATTTGTATAGCATGCGCAGCTTTTCGGGTTTTCATCCTGGTATGTCAGCAAGTGTCACAATTAAAGTTCCGCATTGCGATGCTTATTGCGAACATTTTGACACGTGGTGATTGTGCTACAGCTGAGGAAAGGGACAGTGTCATCGTGCGCGAGTTCGCGCTGAAGCTGTTGCGGAACTGGCCTGTTTGCTTTCATGACAGCCCAATGATGACATATCCAAGCAAGCAACTCTCAATGGAATGATCCTATTGGCTCCCGGCAAATTTTAGCTTTATACACCGACGATTTTGGCGCCATGGAGCTTCCACCAGCTAAGCGTTTGCGCACAGATCCTGACCAGAAGGCAGCGCTAGTTCAAAGGCTGCTGGCTGCCAAAGAGGCATCTGGAAAAAGTTTTGATGAGCACCTTGTCTCTGATGGAGCATGAACAATCTGGTGTAGTTACTACAACGGGCTATACAGGGATTATAGGGTATATATTGGGGTTATATAAGGACAATGGAAAAGAAAATGGAAACTACTACTTGTTTTGTTTCAGAAGATTCCAGGCCGGAGCTTGATAGAGGTCCATGGGTACTTGCAACTCATAGCTCAATCCTAATTTCACTTGCAGAGCAATGATGAGGATGTTAGGGGACTTAGGGGGCTAACATTTGGTTTCTACATGTTTCTACGTAAAAACAGGAGTGGGTAAGACGTAGCCATTGACCTCCAAGTACCACGCAAACAAATTCCTTGAATTATTGGGTTGTAAATATGGAGCACTAAACCCCCTAAACCCTAAACCTAAACCCTAAACCCTAAAGTCCTAGAATCTAAATCCTTAAGTGCAGATCTAAGGATCGCCACCGGCCTCGGATTGACGAATGCTTACACTGCAGCTGGGCTAGCCAGTGAGACGACGAATCCCCTCCCCCCCAGTTGGTTGCTGTTAAGGAACTTAAATTTAGTTACCCTGTTATGGGTATAGAGGATTAAGGGTTTAGGGTGTAGGGTTACCCTGTAATGGGTACATTTCAGGGTTTAGGGTGACCAACTTACGGGTAGGTAGTAAATAATGGGGTTCCCTCATTATAGTAACTTGGTTTAAGTTCCTTGAAAGCAGCCCGGCAAGTCCAGGGAAAAAGTAACCTGCACACCCCGATGATAATGAGGGGTCACATGAGGCTAGATGGGTCATAAAGGGGTACAAAGGTGCTACTACATTTTCGTTGTACGGATTGGGACAAGAAAAAGCTACAGCCGTGGAACATCAAGTCGATCAACATCTAAATGAAGTGGTAACTAAAAACATACTAGTCATCATACATATGTACTTATGGGTTGTATGTATACTATGTATATATATATATATGTATATATGATATGGCACCGGGGTTGTGTAGAGGTATAGATGGGGATGGGAAAGAGAATGGCTACCTCTGTATTATGCAGAGTTTGCGGTTGAAAGCAAATCTCACAACCTGCTTAGAGTGAACATTCCACTGAATGTATTGCACTTCCTAAAGTTGAGTGTGATTATACTGTTTTTTTTCATCAGGGTGCTGGGTTTTGTCTGCAGGGGAGGTGATTGCGGGTTCCAAAAAAGATCTGATTATCATTCGTTCCGGGTTTAAGGTTTGCCAACTCTCGACATCTTGAGAGACTGCTCACAGGGGGCGCCATTGCAGGCAAACCTTTTCTTCAACCAGGCGCAGCTGAAGGCCCACTCAGTCAAGAAGCTCAAGGACAGCTACACCGGTGTGTGATGATGGCATCATGTATATGGTTGGGACCAAGATCCAGGCATCTAGTGTGGTTGGTGCCTGCGCAAGTGTTTCTTTGTATTTGGATCAAAGAGGAATGGATCAGTAGCTTCAGGCTGAATTCAGCTGCAGGAGCTCGTGCCCAAGATCTCAGAGGAAGATCTTGCTGCCATGCAGAGGCACTGAATTCAATTTGGGCTCTCCCTGGGATTGAAGAACGCAAGAGAAGGTTGTCTTTTGTCCGGTGCTTTTTGTATTGCGCCCTGTCTGTGCAACAGCAGTCACTCTTCGCATTGACGGATCTGCGTGGCACAAGCGTTCCCAGACAGCAGTTGGAACATGGAGACTACTTTTCTCACCGTGTCAGCCTCGCACCGGATCAGGCCACCGATGCGGAGCTTTGATCCAGCCATTCTGCAGGATTGAGTCAGCTATCTGCAAGATCGTTGGCCTGCAGCTTAGCTTGTGCAATTTTGCCTTCTCAGTTGCGTGAAGGAGCCCAATGTGTATCGCACGTATGAGGCGTCCAGAGCTCAGTGACAGCTCATGCATTTCAAGCATCACGCAGGGTGCCCGCCGCTTGTGTCTTGTGACTTCCTAGGATCACCCACTACGGTGAGGCAATTAAGGCCTGCAGGGCGATGTGAGAGAAGCTCCACTGCTGTGGGTGCTGGCTTGATTGTGCAAAGGCGCTGATCAATGAGCAGTGCGGCGATGGTATAATGAGCGCTATCGACTTCTACCTGGATGTCGGCACGACCGTTGCTTGCCTGCATCATCCAGTGCGAAAACTTGCATGTGCAGCACTTGCCTGGGAAATCATGCCGAGACCGGGAAGAAGGGCGAGAAGCGAGTTGTCATCACAATGAACGGCAAATTCCTACCCCACGTGGAGCAGATTGCCGCCGACAACACAGATACGCCCTCAGTCCTAGTATGCATGCAGGAGCACATGTGAATCTGTCTGAGAGGGAGGCTGCCCTACACTCAGGCTCCCGGGCCGCGAGACTGAAGGCGAAGAGGATTTTGAAATTTTGAATGCCAGAGGTGAAAAAGACCCTGCAGCCCACAAAGCAGTTTTTGATTCAAAGCCTTCCCACTCTGAGACTCTGCTCTCTGCTTGGCTCTCTGCTTGGCTCTCTGCTTGGCTCTCTACTTGGCACTCGGCTTGCTGCCAGGAGCAGGGCCGAGGTACGGCTCTGGTGCTGAGCTCAGGACCACCCACGTCGCCGCGGTTGCAGAAGTAAGCAGGAGGAGGCGGTTGTAGCTGCTCAGGCATCACGCCACCCAGAGCTCGCAGGGCAAGGTGGGTACTTCTCAGCAAGTCTTGGGTACAGTCATCGAGTCTTCGATACCAATGCTTCTGTTGTGAAGAACGAGGAGACATGTAATTTCGAGAAATTTGCAGGTCGAGCTGCCCAAGTGGACTGAGCCGCCTGAGGAGGTAGCCAAGCACTCCAAGGACCAGAAAAGTCTGCGTGCGGTAGGGGGTGGGGAATGATAGGGTTTCTCAACACAGGGTTTTCCCACAAGCCGACAAACTAGAGGGGCAACAAATCTCTACCAGCTGCTGATATTGACATACGCCTGCTCTTTCTACATGATAGAGAATAGCAGCACAGCATTGAGTTTATATGTATCTATGTATACAATAGGCATGTGTAGGTATTTGTGTCAAGCCTAAGAGCCTAGGCCTGCAGAGAAAACTGTAAATTCTACACCCCTTCTAGAGTCGGGCCAAGGGTGAAGTGAATGGCTGATGAGGACGGTCGGCTTCTGCAGCACATCGCACTCCGAGTCTCCCTGGAGGATGGACGTGACATGCCGGCCCCTAAGAAGGACTTTTCAAATCCATTGCAACACACCCCAACGCCCACTATGCTGCTGGTGAAGACCCCAAACTGTGTTGGACTGCAAAGGCACCAAAGAAGACTGCAAGAGCATTTGTGCATGCACAAGCAAGCGCAGTTGCAAAGATGATGGTTCGCGAGCCAGGGCGAAGTTTTGGGTGATTACATAGGGCGTACATGGGCATAACAAGTCGGGAACTATCCATGAGCCGCCCACTCAAGGCCGTGGACCCATGCCGCACGGGTTGTGGAGGCCAGAAGGTTGTTGACCCCAAGGCCCTAGGCCTTGACAGGGCTGTAGTCGCTGGCCGGCCAGCCCGTTAACTGGATCATCAGGGCGTCATGCACACAGCCTGCTGATTCATGAGGCTTCCATGGGCCCAAAAATTATCGGCCCTCTCAAACGGAGGGCCTTACTATCGGTTAATGGTAGTCCTATGACCCTTGGCTAGGCTTTATTTTGGCCCTGGAGGCCTGGGACGCCGAGCTCTTCTTGTCTAAGGGTGCTGATGATGAACAAGCTGAAGGCCAGCATCCAGTCTTGAGGATGCCATATTTAGAGACTTCCGGGCTTTTTTTGCCTAGCAAGTACCCAGTTTGCAGCCCTGGGTAAGTGCGTGGAGGCCTGACAAGCCTCAGCGACGACATCGTCTTCCTCCATCTAACTCTGGCGTTCCTTTCAGATGAGTGCACGGTGACCCGTCTCAGACCGACCTGTTGAAAGCACTAACTGGGTTCGTGAGCCAGACGCGGAGAACAATCTTCTTGTGGCCTTCATACAAGGTACCACTGCTTCTCCCTCCCACGTCTGGTGCAGACTCGAGTACCGGCCTCAAGTTCAGTGCTTGGAGTATCTTGGAATGTTTCAGGGACTGGTCTTTGTAACGAGCGGTGTGATGAAGTGAAGGAGTTTCTGAAGGTTTCTGGGAGAATGCTCGCTTTCTGCATAAGTGCTGCTGTTTCTCTATGCAATGCCATGCTACCTCTGCCAGTTTAGGCTGCAATGGCAAGATGTGTTCATATTGTTTCGCCCGGGGGCCAGCGTGGGTCAATCCCGGCTGCGCCAGACACGCTTATCAACACCTTGCAGCTGCATGCGCAAATGGAGCTGCGGCTTCACATCAAAGCCTTGGTTGCATGCGGTCGGATTCTGAATCTGGACTAGAGGATGGTTGTGAAGGCGGTGCCGTCACCCAGGAGCCTTTAGATGTGGCCCCGCGACCTCTTTCTCTGCTAGCACCTATCAGATTTGCAGAATGCCCGCCTGATGGACGTGGGAACATGGCTACGTTTGCTGCTGTGAAGCCAGGTGTGCATGCTTTGACTTGGGGAGGAACAGTCTGGGGTGGAGACAGTGCTGGAGTTTGGAAGCATCTAGCACCGCGCAATGTGCACCACATTTGGTCCACAGTGGGAGCTTTTGCGGCAATCCAGGCCAATGGTGTTGTTGTTACATGGGGCCACCCAAGCTGTGGAGGCAAATTGGCACCGTGAGAAAGCTCGTTTGCATGGAACCGGAGGCTACCTGCATTGGGCAGTAAAGACTCAGCTGATTGACGTGCAAGAGATTGCTGCAACTCATTCAGCTTTTGCTGCGCTCCGCGCAGATGGACAGGGTCTCACATGGGGTCTGAGACGGGGGGTGACTGTTCACAGGTTGAGCCGCGAACGAGGGGCATCACTTCATTGCATGCCTCCGACGTATCCTTTGCTGAATTTGACGTGGTTGTGACATGGGGGACCCGCAGTCTGGATGGGACAAGCAGGCTTGTCCAAGAGCAGCTGCATGTTGTGAGAGACGTTGTTGCAACCCACACAGCCTTTGAGGCCCTAAGAGCAGATGGCTGAGTGGTGGCCTGGGGAGATGCGGCCTTTGGAGGGAACAGTGGCGAAGCTAACTTGAAAGATGTGCAGAAAGTCGTGCCAGCCGGTTGTGCATTTGCTTCACTCAAGTCGGATGGTACCGTCCAGACTTGTGGCGACTAGATCTACGGTAGTGACAGTAGCACTGTGTCTACAGAACTTGTAGACGTCCGTGACATCACGAACTCGATTGGTGTGTTTGCAGCTGTTCATTCAGACGGGACAGTTGTCACTTGGGGTCATCCAGATTGTGGAGGTGACAGCTCCTTTGTGTAATCGCCGCTGCAGCTTGCTCTTGTGCGCTTCTGGCTATTCTTGGAGATGGGAGCTTTGTGATCTGGGGTGCGCGTGCTATGGAGGCAGCATCCCAAATTCATGCAATCCTAACGAAGCTATGGCCCAGCAGGAAGCAAAAACAACCGGACAGCCGCAATTGCTTCTGGCAGTCTATAGGAGCAGTTTTTGATGTTGGTTTAACTTGGTTTGGTCGCGGCTGACCAACAGGTGCCGCAGCAGCACCTGCAGAATCCCTGTCCGCTGCGGTGTTTGGGGTCTGAGTCCAAGGAGTTCAGCCTCAGTTCCGGTGCTGCATGACTCGTGGTGAGATTGTGATCCCTGGAAGACTCCAGTGACCCGAATCGTGTGACAAGGCGAGCCATCCTGTACACGCTTGGAGCTTCCTGGTCTGCGACTGTGCGGAGGCTCGGCTTTGGTGTGATCTGTTCCTTCAATGAGGCCATGTTTGGCAACTTGCATTATGTGGGATTGCTGTCTGGAGGCGAACTCGCCTTCAGATGAGCACAAACGAAGAGGCCTGAGCTGACGCTTTCCCGCTCCTGCTGATCAGACACGCTGGTAGGTCGATTTTCTTTGTTCGTTGTTCTTCTCACCTGAAAGCGCGCCCACATGGCCCTGCGAGGCTCGGTGACGGCATTCCAGCGTTTCCTGGCATCAGCCTGGTGCTGCCCGTACGTGTATGCTGCCCACCATCAGCTGAACAGTTTTCTCTTCTGATGGGCTGTTTCAGTCGGGTTATGTTGACTAAGATTATGTGACGTCAGCAGGCAGCTCTAACATGTTACGTCTGTTTGCAGGTGCTCACCAACTTTGGCTGCAGTCTCAGCTTAGGCAGCCAAATCGTCTTCCACATGAAAGCCTCTAGATACCTGTCACCCTGTGCGGCATTGCTCAGACACATACTGCCTGGGTGTGCCAGAATGCTGTATCTAAGGTGACTGACACGGCTACCTGGCGTGCTGACCTTACACTGTCAGAAGCATTTGCATGTGAGGGAATGGGCGGATGCAGGCCGAGGATCTTGTGAAATGCTTGTTCCTTGTAGATGCAAAGGCATGGGTGGCCGACGTGTCCTCTTGCCATACACCGTTTACAAGGCAGGATCTCGGCACAGCTGCGCTCGTCCAGCAGCAAGCTGCATGAGTCCGTGCAGTTTAGACAGGTATATCGCCAACTTCGAAGTCAGGAGTTTGACAGTTTGCGTAAAGCGGTGCTTGGCTGAGTGACTGAGTGAATTTCCTTGAGGCAGCACACTTCTGCAGCACCCTCATGCAGGTGATGACAGCTTTAGGCCCAGACTGCTCGTATCCCAGGCCCTCGATTGCATCGTGATGCAAGCAAATTCCCCGCAGGACTTGGGCTCAGGCTTTCCTGTCTCATGATGAGTTTCAGAATTGAAGTGCAGATCAGTGATGGACTGTGATTGAAAAAACTCAGGCCTCACTCCGGAAGACGGCCATGCGAGCAGGAAGCCCAGAACTTGCTTGCGGCCAGATGCATCAGCACCACTAATGTGGCCTGGTCGTGTTGAGAGACAGGGATGTTAGCTGCCGTACGGTTCAGGATGACAGTGCAGCATGTCCAGAAATCCTTCCCTCAATCTGCAAGCTAACTCCGCTGATCTTGCAAGAGAACAGCAGAAGCAATCACGGAAACTCGTCAATTTTCTGTACAGCAAGATGGCGCTCTGGCTGTGAAGGCCCTGAGCGATCTGGTTGATATGGACATTTCCGTGCTCAGCTTGAGGCAGTCTCTTCTACTGTTTGTTTGATTGTTTGCACTGCTACAGGATTATGCAATAGATTGGCATGGTCATTCCATGGGGGTAAGTGGCAGATAAGCGAGGGACAGCTATGGGGTTGATACTGGAAAGTCACCCATGACTTCCAGCACGATTTCGTTCAGCATGTGCGCGTGGAAGTCACCCATAGTCATTCTTTTGTGATGTGTGGCAAAGTTGCTTGCCTTCAGTCGTGCGTAAGAATGACTGCTGTGGTGTCTGACTGACGAACTGATGTTGCCTGGATGCCTCGTCTTTCTGGTGCCTTCCTCAACAACCTGATGCCAGGGCAGTGGAGGAAACAGTGGACATGCGTCTTCGTGACGAGTCCTCCTGGGTTCGGCAGGTTGGATAATAGTATATGCTGACCTCGTAAATCCACGTGCTTTACCTGTTGGCTTTTGCTGGCAGGTTTCCCTGGACCTGCTCGGGCGCATCCTAGAAGGAAGCCTGGCTGAGGCTCTGGTCAGCCAGGATGCTCACATTTGCAGGACGTCCTCCCTCCTGCCAATTTGTTCCTCAAATTTCTCATTTCGCGAGCGGAACCTGAGAATCTCCTTTGTTCTGTCACCTGATGCAGGCGTCCCTGCAGGGCAGCGGTGGTGAGGCTTGGTGCTGCGGCCAGTTTCTTCTTGTCATCTACTTGGGATCTGATTGTACTTGTAATTACATGCCAATGCAGTGATGCCCATGTTGTCCAGCAGCCGTTGCAGCCTAGGGCACTTGAAGCGGCAGTTGAGGTTGCGTAGATTTGTGCGGTTTACTGTGCCTAGGGTAGGTTGGCCTTCTTGTTCAGCAAGTTGTGTATTAGTTTGTAGTGATTGGGGTACGTTGACCTGGGCCCAGTTTGTTTCTTTGGCTTGCTTGCTAGGGCGGGCTGCACGATGTGTTTTGAAGTATTAGGAAAAGCCCGCTGAGGATTTTTAGATGTCCTTGTCTCCTTTTGTGCTAAGTCTGCTCCACCTTGTGCTGCTGCTGCTGCTGCTGCTTCTGTTGCAAGCGGACTCGAGGGATCATGTGCTGAAGTCTTGCATGGGCAGAGTTCACCTTTGCGGAGGCTGCTCCCAAGCGGCCAAGCACAGAGGGCAGCCAAGGAGGCCCAGAGCTCTCATTTTGCATCTCTCCATGGCATTGCAAGTGGCTACATGCAAGTACATGGTGACCCGGGACATTATCCTACTACTCAACTAACCCCTATACAATCCCAGCTTCCATTTCATTTTCCATTTTCTTTTCCATTTGATTCTCCATTATTTGGGTAAGGGGCAACCCTGCTTGAAAGGATCAGACGCGAGCGCGCGAGCCATGCTGCCTCCCAGCAGCATTCACAAAACAGGATTTAGGGCTACATTATTGGGGGTTATATTGGGATAATGGAAAAGAAAATGGAAACTACTATAATGGGTTATATAGGGTATATATTGGGTATATTATTAGGGTTATATTGGGATGATGGAAAAGAAAATGGAAACTACTATATTATAGATTCAGATCCGGGTTTGGAAAATCAGACGCTCTTGGCTGTCTAAGCTCGAGGGCCCAGAGTCGTGTGTGGCTAAACACTGAACAGTGTTTGATGCTCCAAGGCTTCGGTTTCACAAGACGGTGCGAGGGCGGCTGCCTTATGCCACAGTCAGTCTGCATTGGCTCCTTGCAAGTCCCTGCTAGCATCTTTTTTGGGCAGCTTTTCTTTGAAAGCAAAAGGTGCAGTCTGCATTAGTCAGTCGCTTGCGCAGTGATTTCTTGACAACAGACGATGAGAAACGTCTTCTCATAACTAGCTGCCAGATCTTCACCCTCACCCTACTGGAGCACTGCAAACAAGCAGCAAAAACAGCCGCCTCTATACTGCCCTCATGGCCCGCACATCATTCTGGACGGTTTCGCTGCTGGCAGCCCTCTGCTGCTCCGTGCTGAGGCGAGTTTTCTTTTGACTTGCAGCCTTGAGCTTTACATGAGCTACTGTCAATATTTGCTTTGCCAAGGGCCATTAAGGATGGACATAGGGACCCTCTTGTAGTTTAGTATAGCCCCTAATATAGTCCCTAATAAGGAACCCGTGTCCATCAAATTGGGTAGAATATATTGACTGTAGCTCACATGCTGAATATGCGATCCACTGCATGGATAGGTTTGAGCTTTGGAAGGGGGATGGGCTCGCTGTTGCTGCAACAAAAACTTTACTCTCGGAGACTCCGTTCTCTTGTGCAGACCGAGCGTCGCCTTACCATACTGTTGGTCTGAATTTTAAGTTTTTCCAGTTGAGAACTCCATTGCGTTGAATAAGTTGGATGGATATTGGGACCATAAACTCTGCACATCCGGTTTCGTTTCCCCGTCTTAAATGTGCTCAGGCCGCGAGAGGCTTTCGTCCTCTACAGCCAGCCATCAGAAAGGACTGATGGAGATATTGCTACACTTTGGCGTAGAAGAGGATTTTGTTGCCCGTGCCGCAGAAGCGGTAGACCCGGGTAATCAAGGGTGAGTAGGATGAATTCTTCGTAGATCGTCTACATTTCATTCCGTCTTAGTGTTCATAGATGACCTTCCTGCCCCCACAGTTCTGACACTATGGGCCCCTACGATGCAGCGCCGGGGAAATCGAAGGCGAGACACAGATACAAACAGCACACATGGAAATCAGACTAACAGCCTTTCTCAGTCAAGGGTCGTCAGCAGCTCAGATGTGCAAACACCGAACGCAGAGAGAGTAGTGGCTGGCATGCCAATGCATGTCTATCATGCACGGAGGCAATGCGCCCTCAAAACTTATGAGGTTGAACTTGTTGCAGGGCCTCGAGAAACCTTGCTCAGTTCTCGCACTTCATCGACTCTTAGCATGCGCAAATATGCGCACAGCTCTTGGGCTGCCTCACTGACATTAGTTAGCTGAATCTTCGTTGCGTTTTCTTTTGCGGACTTTCTGCGTGTTGAGCATGGGAAGTGCAGCAGCGACAGGAGATGCCAGATGCTGCGGCGAGCAAGAGGTGATGACGACGGCGTCCTCGATGGAACATTTAAGGAACCTGGGATCATCTTGCGCACTTGCCACAGCTTCTGCTGCAATTGCGGAGTGTTGACAGCATCGCGGATCTTGTTGCTAGGAGGTAGCTCAGAATCTTATCGACTCTATGCCTCTGCTGCTTGGTCAGCAGTTGGTTGCTGCAGTTCCAAACCTGAGAGTTTCGAAGACTTGTACAGCCTTGTCCTTGGACCTTGTCCCCGAACATTCTTCGTGCATGTCTGAGGCCTGCCGAAGACAAGCAGGCCCACGAGGCCTTCGTCATATTCCCGAGAGCTGCCCACGTTCATGTCTTATGTGAGTAACGTGAGCTGTGTGTTGTTGGCTCCTAGCATGGTGGTTTCTTTGCTCTGACTTGATTAACCGCAGCCTGGACCTCTGAAGATGACAGATGGGAGGCTTACAGAATGGGCCTGGCAGCCCAGGGTGACGGAGATCTGCAGGACGCGGTGCGCTGGCACCTCGGTCCTTCAGCCTGACCAACCTTTACGATCTCATCGTGGTCTGGTTTTGTTTTGGCAGCAGCAGAACTGCCGCAGGAGTCGTTAGTGGTGGTTAAAGCAGGGAGTACTGCCAGGTGCACATTGAACCGATGTAGAACCTCAAAGTTTCGCAGAGCCATTGGTCAAGGCAGCTTAGGTTTCGGCCTGCTGTGGCTGTTGCCCCCCCAATGACCTAGTTCACAAGGCTGGCAGGCTTGCACAAGCCAGCTGACGCAACAGACCTGTTTCCACTCTCGAAGTGTCAAACTGAGAGTTAGCTGCTGCTGGACTTGATGTGAAGGCAAGTGAGAATACACTTTGGCCGAGGTATGCGAAGGCGCTAAAATTGGAAAGCGATCCATTTGAACGTCGCCTGGGCTTTGTTAGGCCATGTCTGTCAGCTGTAGGCTGGCTGACCAACTTCTGCTTTGAACGTGTTTGTGCAAGTGTGCGTGCAAAGGATGGATTAGCTTGCACTAGCAGGTGGCTACATTCTGTACAACTTGGGCATTGTATTTCACGAGAATGGTGAGTACACCAAAGCAGCGAAGTACTACATGATGGCTGTGGAGGCGGCCTCAGATGGATAAATTGCAATGCCGCCTAAGGATGCACTGCTGGCCAGTAAATTTTGGTGTGAGACGGTTCATTTGCCCTGTCTGAAATTCAGGATCAAAACTACCAATTATACTCTGCCTGGAACAATCTTGGTGTGATGTATCACGTAGCTCGGCCTGCAAGTGGCTGGAGGTCTTGAAGTAAAGCTCGCATGTTCAAATCTGCTGCTTTAACAGACTGAGTTCGTGCCCAGGCCCAGGGAGTCAAAGCAGAGCAAGACATGCGATTTGATAGGGCAGATGCTCTCTACGAGAAGGCAGCAGAGCCGCTTCTCTGTTCTGGGGACATGGCTATTCAGTTTGCGCAGCTGGCTGTCCTTATCCAGAGCTCCAAGGTACTGGAACCGAGCGGCCAACTTGGCACCTGGGCAGCCTCCTGGCATAGCACTTGTAGCAGTCGCTGCAGCCAGCAAAGCAGCACCTCTGCTTTCCTTAGTGCAATGGTGCAGATCTATAGATCCAAGGTACGCCGATGCTGAGCGCTGGTTGCTGGAAACGGGCCGGGCGCAGGGCGAATGGACCCTGGCGCTGCAGTGGAATGTTTGCAGAGTTGTATAAATAGATTGGGCATACTCATACGAAAGTTGCAAACGAAGCTTGGGTGCCAATTTTGCGTTGCAAATATCCACCCTGACAAGAGCCAAGGAAAAACGACATGTTCTCTACAGCTGGAGCTGGATTCCGGTGACGGCATTTTCTCGTGTCAGTTATCCTGAGCTTGCGCTCTTCAGCCTGCTTGATTTAGAGTCTGACGTGAACGAACCTGATCATCTGATCTGTAAAGTATCGTCCCCTCCCCTGGACGAGCTGTAAATACGGATTCTTGCACTTTGTCTGGATTGGATGGCCTCCGTTTTTTGAACTTGTTGAACATTTGGGATAGAGGTAGAGGAGTCAGTCGAAAAAGCAAGGATCAAATGGACACTTTGCGAGGGACTGACATCCCTAATAGTGTCAGACGCGAGTTTCTGTGTTCCCGTTCTCGGCCTTTGAGGCCCCAATCTACGATCTCAACGGCAGCTTGATGTGCGAAATTGGTGTGTGCAAGGTTGCGACTTGCAGCCAAAGAGGTCGTCCTCAGCAGACATTGCACATTGCTCTCAAGCATTTTGCTCAAGCCCCATCACTCTGCCAGCGCCCAGACAATCTAGACCTACGGATGACCCTGCCATGCGTTGCAGCGGACGGTCCACTATTCCTGCTCCAGTTCCTCACAGGCTTATGCGAAGCAACAGCAGCTGTATATCGAGCAAAGGCAGCTGCGGCTTCAGCCTTCAGCTACACATCGATGAAACTGCAGGAGTGGATGCCCGTGATACCTGCAATGCAGTGCAATCCTGTTATGGTCAGGCATGACAGTCAGTGTGCTATTTGCTTGGATGAGCTCGGTGCTTCTGCGCATGAAGTTCTTCCTTGTGGGCATGCGTTTCACGCAGTCTGCGTGCGGCCTTGGTTGAGTCACAGAGAGAGCTGTCCAATCTGCCGGCAGCAATGCCAGCGTGGCAGAACGTCTTTTCGCTGACTCTGAGAAACACAGGAATGATGGGCTTCTGTTTGCAATGCGTGTTTAGTCTCGTCTGCTCGAAGGACCATCTGCCCGCCGTGGGCAGGGCTGTACAGAGTCTGCATGATTGGCAGAATGCCAGACCTCGAATAAGAGATGTAGACGCCAACTGCATGCAGTTGGGGTTGCGGAATGTGTTGTGGTATGTCATGTGCGCCTCTTGTCCCTTGAATCGGTTGTCGGACCTGCCCTTGCGGGCACAGGAAAGCATGAAGTTCGGATAAATTCCTTGCAGATCCCGATTGGGATCCGGGTACGAGCCTGCTCCTGTAGAATTTCAAAGCAAACGCTTCATGCGGCTTGAGATTTGGACTGCTGCAGATATGAAAGAACAGCTTGCCTCCTGTCCTTGTGCCTGAAGCAATTTCTTTGATTGGGTCATATCTGGCAAGGTCACCAACTCCCGGGTGTCGAAGAGGTTTCATGGGGTTGACAATTGAGGGTTCCAGCTCAATCGGAAGTCATGCAACAGGGTGTCTGGTTGAGGTAAGTCAGCGCGGGTCCTACAATGGGTTACTTTTTTTCAATCCTCACCCTTGTTGGGTGCATTTTGTGCTTTGCAGCAGGCACTCTGGGGAACCAAACAGAACTCCAATGCATGTTTCCGCTGCAGCTGAGGCGCGTGAATGACACCGCGGTGATTGTCAGGCGGCAGGCCACGAAGATCCTCAGCGCATTTGTGTCTTTGCTAAAGGTTATGTGGAGGATTTCAACTTGGGAGAGATGTGCACAGCACGTGCACCACAGTAGAGAGAACAGTCCAACAGCAATCTGAAGCCAGCGCGGCGGAACTTCTGCCGGAGAACTATTTGGAGCTTGGAAGTCTGGCCAGGGCATTGGCCTGCCTGGCCGCGGAAGCTTTCAGAAGAGCACAAAGCAGCCTTTTCTTCCGGGACTGCGACAGCTGAGCCCAGAGTTTGATTTAAAAGCCTTCTTCAACAAGGGTTGTAGGACTGGTGCTAGAGCACAAGTCTGAGTGTTGTTTTGATTTGAAGGCGGCCCCGTTTTCACGTAAATTGCGACCTTCGTGATCTCTGTAAATAGAAAAATTAGTCTCTATGTCTACGTACTGTTGCATGTGGTCATGCCCTGTACAATATGCGCCTTCACAGGGCAACCTTCAGGACACCGTGAGAGTTTAAAGCTGCTGTGCGAGCATGATGGAGTAGCTTTTGAAGCGTGAAAAAACAGGTATCTTGAGTAGTGGGGACGGCTCTCCTTTCCTTCCAATCTTCTATACAGCACGAGAGTTAGCCTCGTAGTAACCAAGGAAGACCTCGTCCGGGAAGTCCGCTGTGAAAGAGCATGGCTTGCCCTCAGGTGTTGAACCACCCAGACCATCCAGATGTGGTACCCGTCACACTGGACCTGCTGCGACGCTCCACTGACTCAGAAGCTTTGCGTGGAACTCAGTGGGTGTCGAATCCAGACTCGAACTGGGGTACTTGGAGGTTCATGGGAGTTATTAACTATTTACAACTGGGGTTATAACCCTACTTATAATTGGGGTAACCATTTAGGAGGGTTATAAGTAGGACTCTGTGACTGTTCGACAATCTAAGCGACTTCAGTGTTGAGAGGTGCTGTTGCTAAGGTGCGCAGTGCGTTATAATGGGATAATGGAAAAGAAAATGGAAACTACTAGAATGTTAGGGTTATAATGGGAAAGTTTTATTGCCTGCTTGTTTGTTTCTTTCGGATATGGGAGTTTCTCAGACCCAGCCACAGAGAATCTTTCAGGGGGATCCCTCTAAACTCCTTAGAATCCGCATATACCTTTGTTTGGCAGTTTAGGGTTCCGCTGCAGACCCCCCCAACAATGTAGTCACCTACAATGGGCACGCTTAGACCAAACACAAAACCTGAAACATACCTCTATACCCCTGTTACTTCTTATTTACAGGAATCTGAGAGTAGACCCCCCCCAGTTTTGAGAACCTCCCCTCGCAGTGCAAAAAATCAGGCGCAACCTTGTTTTGGGCACCTTCGAACTCCTGTGGTTCATGGACGATGAGCCAACGCCAGAGGTTTGGGATAGGGGCTCCCCCTAAACCTTAAACCCTAAACCCTAAGCCTTAAACCCTAAACCGCTTGGGGTCCACGGCTTGGCGGCTTGGGGTTAAGGTTCCGGGGGTTTCGAGCTTAGGGTGCAGGGTTTTGAGGGTCTATGAGAGCCAAAACGGGCAATATGTTGAACATGTTCAGTTTAAGGAGGGTAAAGCTGTCCTGACACGGCTGCCGATGCAGCGGAGTTGTCAGTCTCAGTTGCACTCAATCCTTTTTGGAGGCCGCTCGTCAGCTGTGTCGGGTGGTGGATGCCTCTCGAACCATGGTTGCAGGGGCCCGGGCATCAACAACTCTATTGATTCTGCTTGCTGGTACTGTCAGCTTGTCCTATTTCGATGAGTCTTCACAAGAAGCCGTGAGTGAGCAATGATTTGGATGGTTGTCAAAATTATGGTCCCTTTTTGGGTACCCTAAATATTAGGTGCCGTATTATAATAGGGACCCAAAAAGGGACCATAATTTTGATAACCACCTATTTGAAGCTTTGAAGCCTGGCCCAGGCTGCCTTGGGTGACGTCTTGCAGGAGCTCCTGCGGCGCTTCCGGAAATCCATCGGTCCCCGGCCTAAACTGGAGCTGCCTCGCACGTTTGATGACTTTTGCCTTTTCGGGAAGCAAGGGCAGTTGCATGTGATAATTACCTACACGTTGGCAGCTCTTGAAATCCAACAATGCCAACTGTTCTGGCTCTTACTATAGTGCTTTCGTCGCTTTCAGTGCGTTTTATTACATGGCTTCCCAACTGGACCTTGTTCGCTTCCAGAGACCTGCCCGTGCAAAGATGCAAGCATGATGCGTCATCGTGCAACAAGTTGTTAGTTTGGCGATGCTGAGCTGGAAATTTAGAGTCAAAGCCTACGATTACAAAAGCCATCTTCCCAGCACCACGACAGCCAAGTCCACCTTGGCAGGCTCTCGCAAGAACTCCAAAGGCTACGAGTTCGCGATCCGTCGCTGGACAACATTGATTCTCAACGAGTTCGTGCGCATGAAGTCTGGGCGCCAAGCTGCTTTGAACAGTGTACGTCCTCAAGATGCTGGAATAGCCTTCCCCATGTGGGATTGATGCCACTGCTTCGGGACATTTGTGGCCCAAAATTGAGATGCTGAAAGGTGCGGACAAAACTTGGAGGCACCCGCCAAAAAAGCCAAGGCCGTGTGCTCGCACAGAGATGCAGAGTTAGTTTCTGTGATTGGTTGCCTTCAGTCATGCTGGGCGAGGTTGTGCATTTGCAAGGCAGATTCGCAAAGTGGTAGATTTGTGCACGTTCTCAGCGAGAAAAGTGCCTTGAGCAGGGCATCAAAGGCGAGCCGCAAGCTGCCGAAAGTGCGGAGGTCCGCGTTCTTTCAAAAGTTGTCAAGACTGTCATTGCTGAAGACAAAAGCTCGATGCTTCATCAGAACTGCCTTTTTGTTTTGTGAGGAGCAATGGCTGATGCGCCGGTCGCTGCTCTCCACGCTGGAGGCGTTCTCTGCGACGCAGCCCAAGGATTTGCCTGGCCCTGAGAGGGGTTCTGAATCTAGGCTGCGTGGCTTTTGTTCAGGCCTTGTCTGGTTCAAAACGGCTCCGTAATATCGAGATGTCATTCACGCTATTAAAGGCTTGGGTGAAATCCTTGTGCAGGTTTGTGCTTCCTCCAAGTCTCCTCCTGACATCTGGAATTGCAAGGGGATCGACGGCAACTGTTTTTCAAACTAGAATGCAGGTGAATTCAAGCGAAGCCGCAGTGCGGAGCGATTCCGAGGCTTGTGCACCTGCGACCCCTCACGATCTACCTTGCCCTGGAGGAGAGATGGCACTTGGGGTCATTCGAGCTGGGGGATTGTATGGGGGATTATATACGAGAGTATTATAGGGGTTGCTAAGAGGGATGCTAAGAGTTTAGACAATGGGTCACTTCAGCTTGTCACAAGTTTTATGGGCTGCCTCAGAAACTGCCTTGACCTTGAACCAGGACGACTCGCCACCTGAGGACCAATGGGTGGCCATCAAGGTAGGGCAGGGCACTTTGAACCAGAGTTGAGCATTCTGGGGAAATGGTAGTTTCCCGAAATAGGGGGACCCCAATCCAGACACCAAAATACTGTTGGCCTTATCATGGGGACCACCAAAAACTGCCCCTAATTCTAGGAACACCCCCCAGATTTGCCCTAAACCGGCCGAAAAAACCCATGGCTGCCGGAGGTTTGTCGGATCCTGGCCTCCGTCTTACCTTTTGTGGCGGAAAGGCAGGGCGTCGCTGTATGGTCTCAGCATCAACGTGGTTTGCTTGTGGATCCATCTGAAGACTTCCGGCTGGAGAGAGGGGAAGGCAGTGGGATCTCATAGAAGCTTTGTAGTGCTATGATTGAATCATTGTCATTTGTGTTGAGGGCTCAGGGCTCAGTACAATTTTTTGTTTGGACATGGCTAATTAAGCTAATTATCGAGGACTACCGCCTTGCTGTAGAGCTTGCATTCATGCGGAGCTGGTTGTAGGCGTTTGTCCTCCGGAGTTTGTGGATGAGTTTAGACCACTCGTGCCAATCGATAGGTTTCAGGTCTAGTGCTCACCCTTACCTTGAAGTTGGCTGCACGATGCCTTGAGGGATCTTTAGATATTTTTGTGAACCTTGTTGCAAGATAAACAGCTTTTGCTGCTGCCGACGATGAATTCTGACTATGACTGCAGCATATTGCAAACAGCTGTGCCGCATAGTCAGCTGGAGGCGCGGCCTCATGGATCATCGGCAGGTCCAGGTGGACCTACAGGCAGGAGGGTCCCATCAGCACCTCGTGGGATGGTATAACACGGTTTCCAAATAGGCTAATAGGTTGATGATGTGATTACTTTCGTGAGGCCCTCATCCGCAACCAGCCGTCCAGTGGCGTGCACGAGGCTGTGTCGGGACCCTACAGAATTCTTGGTAGTTCAGCTGCCATGCGAACCAGGATTGCAGGCAGAGCTGTGATTGAGAGATAGAGATAGGATTGCTCTTTAAGGCGCTGTCTTTGTCTCGTCGTGAAATATGCTTGGACCTGAGTGCCAGCCTGCACGTTGTTATGCTTTTCTTTCCTGCAAAGCTCTGCATGCAATTGTCCTAGGTCACCGGCGACTTGGCACAGATCGTCTCGCACTTGAACGTTGCAGTGTGGGGCCTCCCAGCTCAGAGTCGGCAGGAGGATCAAAAGTGCGTGGTACGCATGTTTGTGGCGAGTGTGGCATTGCGATGCGGCCTTCCAAGATCTCCAGGCCATCCCTCTCACGGCTTTGTGCCACTGGCGAGCAGAAGCCTGGCAGCCTCGAGCGGATCCAGTTGTTGTGAGCCTCACGGATTTGCAGGGCTGGATTTTGGAAGGGGTGCATCGTGAGCTTTGGCTGTCGCGGCTCTATTGCACCATGGCAGGTACATGAGCCGTCAAGCTTGGGTGCTTGCATCCATCATGGAGTGCCTCCACATAGATGATTATGTCCGGACCTCGCAGGAGATGAAACATGCCGTCAAGCAAGTCAAGTTCTAAGTATTCCAAGGGCTACATGCATTCTGTTGCAGCTCACTCTCCAATTTTGCGGGACTTGGAGTATCCCGTTTGGCAGGTCCAGATAGAGGGCATCAACGTTGCAGATCAGTCGCTGGGATGGCTTACTTGCCGTTGTGATGTCTTTTTGAGATATTGGTTTGTTTTCATTACTATTAGTATCATTAGTACTCTTTTTACACTATTGCTATTATGATTATTTATTCCTTTTCGCATTACTTTTATTACCTATTCCTGTTATTGTATTTTTTGCGCAGCCAGGCCTAAGCGTCGTGTGCTGCCACGGTCGGACCTCAAGTTTGAGTTTGTTGGAGACTCTGTGGCCACAACCGTGCTGGACCTGCTGCTGAGGCACACAGTTCCATAGGAAGGAAAGAGGGTCTGAGTAGGATGGATCATACCTTGTGCTCAGAGACCCTGCAGGTTGAATGCAATTGGTGAGTCGCAGCTGCGTGCAGTGGCTGCCTCCTGCATGGGCTTCTTCTTGAAAGGTCACCGTGGCTTCACCAAAGACCGGCGAGTGGCAGAACTACTGCACAGCGCCCTTAGTTCCAGTGATCTCCTCCTCTGCAGAAAAGCGCTGGAGACGCTGTCATCCCTTCTGGCCCACTTCCGCTCCGAGGCAGACCGGGAGTCCAAGTCTGGCGCGGCCGACTTTGCAGACAGCCGCGATGGCCGTGTTGCTGGTTCGCAGACACAAACCCAGGCAGCTGCGAAGCCCGGCGAGGCTGCCACCAAGACCAACTCGGCCATAGAAGCGGCACAGCCGCTTGCAGCTTTTGCCGATGTTGTACTATCGCACATCACGCTTGCTGGCAGCGTGGGCCCAGCTGCAAGTCGGGTAACGTCCCCGATCAAACGGTCCCGCACAAAACAAAGCGATGCAGCTGCACCCGCAGGGGCGGCACATGAGGATGCTGTGAAATCTGAAGGCGTCCTGCGGGTTCGAGTTGAGGCTCTGTCCGTGGTACGACATCTTCACCAGCAAGGCTTGGTGAATCCAATGTCCGTGTTGCCCAAAGTCTTTGCCCTGACCTTTGCTGGCGATATTCGCCTGTCAGAGCCAGCGACTGCCATGCTGAAAGAGATGCTGGAGCTCAGGCCCACCTTGTCCCCCATCAGACACATTGGCATAGTTTGAGGTTATGTTGTTGCTATTTCATGCCCTCCTTTCAAGCAGAGGCCCGGTCCAGAAGGTCATCATTTTGCGTTGTACCCTATATCCTTAACCCTAAAAAACCGAATATAACACCATTATAGTAGTTTGCTTTAATTTTCCATTGTCCCTATATGAGCCCATTAGTATCCCAGCTGCCTGAATGATCCGCAGCCAGCGTCTTCTGCCGAGGCTGCTAAATCGACTTGACGAAGCCTTCCGAGAGGCCCAGCTTGTCCCAAAGGTTTGCCGGGTGTAATGGAAAATAAAATGGAAGCTACCACAATGGGGTTATATAAGGGTTTAGGGATTAGAGTTAAGGATTTAGGGTACAACAAATGGGTGAGCCTGCTCGCGAAAAGAGCAATACGTTTAATAATGAAGCAAGGATGTTTACGCTAACAACTTCTTGGGTCAGCTGATGTCCCGTCGCGCTCATTTCAGTTATCGGCATGGTTTGGGCGACCGGCTAGGCTCAAACTCCCAATCCTGCAGCTTCCTGGGTAGCCATGCTGCGAAGCCAAAACGCAGTTGTACCCGGCGCGAGACAATAAAACCTCCATTGTTACTGGTTCTCAGTAGGCACTAAGGGAATATAAGCCTTATATGAGCCATGTGTATGTATTCCAATATTTCCTACTAACCCCAAACCCCAAACCCTACATGGCCCATATACATATATATATATATGCATATACATATGTATGTGTATATATGTATATATATATATAAATGTACATATATATATATACACGTATTTTTCCTCCCACATTCCGTACTAATCCCCAGTAGGCGTGTGGACAGGCCTTCCTGGCACTCATCTCGGCTGCGTCGACGCCTGTTCGGCTCGGCGAGGTGGAAGCCGCACTTCGTAAAACTACCAAGTCCATTGCTGAGGGTTTAGGGTTTAGGGGGTTAGGGTTTAGGGTTTAGGGGTTCAGGCTTTAGGGTTTAGGGTTTAGGGGTTCAGGCTTTAGGGTTTAGGGGTTTAGGGTTTAGGGTTTAGGATGATTGCCTTACTG